ACTCATCAATTTTTTTTAAATAATATTAAAGTCTAACACTTTTTTAAAGGTAAAGGAAAGTAACAGCCTATAATACGAGTCTCACTGCTGGCAAAGTACCTACATTATTACTGCTGGGCACGGGCCTCATCTTACTTTACACTTATCTATTTCACATTAATTATAGTCAGCACCATAGAATATTATAATACACAATAGAATGGCTGTCAACCTTATTTTGTACGATGATAGGCGTCGCCGGGAGCACACATACAAGCAATTACGTCGTATTATCAGTTAATCACTACTACAAACCCGATTCGCTGTGTTGACAGGCAGATTTTAATACATATTTATTTGTAAATAGGGTGCAATTTGGCGTTTTCTAAATAATTTGCATGCGAAATTTGGAAACGATTGTAACGTCAAAACACATCTCGTGTTGACATTTATACGTGCGAATTGACGTGTTAGTGGCATTTTAGTGGCTATACGGGCTCCGCCCACTCCCCCGTTCTAGTATGTATGTATTATAGTATTCTATGGCCAGCACTTATTTCCCAAAGTCTCATTATGAACACAAATATAATATATTATAAACCATGCACAAATAACACGTAAAAACAAGTTATGTTTATATTACAAAATATATTTGTAGTATTTGTTACTATAAACAAACGATGTGATGAGTTTTTAATTTAAAATATCAATACATAAAGCTTAAAACCTTTTAAGTAGACCAACCTTAATTTTATGTTAAACTTAAATTTACATAATTATTCGCGCAATCAACCTTTGAAGGGGAATGAACTTAAATGCTTCGGGGCAGCAGCTGTGTGCCTATTATGATCTTGAATTGGAAACCAAAACACTGATTAAAAGATTATTAAGCTTAATTTCAAAATTTACGAACTTAGTTCTTTTTGTTAAAAAAAATTGTGGTCCAAAATTACAATATATATTACGTGTAATGACTTTAAGTGACAACATTACGAAACCCGTTATTATCCGTAGTAATCCGTAGAGTACATCCCATACTATGTATTTATTTATTCCTATATATACCTGAGCAGCTATTCACCTAATAAACATAGTTTACGGATATCTTATTATAGCATGCGGGCGACAAACGAGCCTACATTCCACCTAATGATAAGTGGACATCTACATCAAAATGCAGATGCGTTGTCACCCCTGAGGACTACGATGGTATGCCTCAATTCCAGTGAAAAGAGTCTCCGTTTGTCTACACTCACCATACGAAACACAGTAGCATTACGCTGCTATTTTACGCTGGTATTCTGTGAGAGCGTGGTCTTTTTGCAATCGAGCCGAACCATTCGTGCTACAAGCTACAACCATAATATAACTGCAGCGTGAATCTACCACGTAAAAATATAGGTATAGGTAGGTTTAACGTTTCGATTGGATGTCGATTGTGAATGTGAACTCTCCAACATAGAGCAAATCGAGAACAAACAAATATTTTGCATTACAACCCGCGTTAAAGAACGCTTTCTGCCGTATAACATTGACCAGACTGAAAAATTATAGTTTCAAAAAGCAAAACAAAGTTTCAACCTGTGATTATGGCAAATACCTAATTTATTTATAATTTAATGCTGAATCCTATCAGTTCCTACTTGACCACTCTGCTTTTAAGTTCTGCGATATCAATTAAAAACAAACAGTTTAATGTAAGTAAGCTCCATAAGTTATGATTTTAAATGATAGGCATTTATTTGCCATTTGTGATATAGATGGACATATTCTGGTATGTTTAAAGTTTACTTATGTATTAAGGCGAAACCGGTCGGTTTTAAAGTAAACTAGCGATCTGCCCCGGCTTCGCAAGGGTCATTTCTGGACTAAAATATACACAAAAAATCATCAAAATCGATCCAGCTATTTTCAAGTTTTTGCGAAACTAACGATAGCAATTGATTTTTATATATAGAGATAAATTAAAATATAAGTGAGGGTACTTCATCATCATCATCATCATCATTACAGCCCTTCACAAGCCCCCTGCTGAACGTAGGCCTTGAGGGTACTTCATACTATGTCAACCTAAATCACAAAGGAAAATGAATTTTCATCAATTGAGGTTTCTCTGTCTACGATTGACAACAGTCGCAATTATTAACTAATTTGTATATGTTTGATTTTTCATTATATACACTATGAAATAAAAAATATATAATTAACCGAATCGGGTACTTAAATTTCAAAGAATTATGCGCAGTAGCATCAATAATAAAGCTTTTCCTAGTTAAATATAATCAGAGAGAAGCAAACAGGTTCAAGACAATTTGAACAGTAACGCAATCGAATGTATTATGATTCACGAACCCCCGGAACCCCCACAAGTTTAATGCTCGATACTGGAATACCCGCTTAGTTGAACAGTAATGAAACTCGGCGGTTTTCGGCGAAAAATCGAATTGGTTTATATTAAAGTAGAACAACAACTTTGTTCTTGTTATATATAGTATTGACACAAGGTAAAATATTTCATATAATATGTAAATTTGTGAATATAGTTATCCACTCTTTTATTATAAATTATTAATGTAAATTTTTATACACTTGTGTAAAAATGTATGTAATGTTAAGAAAGGTTCTAATTTACGAGCATAATTACTATATTAAACTATAACTTCAATTTTTTTTAAATAATATAACTTAGAATAAATTATATTGCAATTTCCTGAGAAGCAACGAAACACATAAATCGGAACAGGGATTTCCGCCCCTCGTTTTTCTTTTTATAAGTACTGGCAGAGTAACGTGTCTGAGATAATTTTTCCATAATCGAAAGTTAAAATAAATAAATGGTATAAAAATTATAAATATATTATATTATGTTGCAGTGTGAATTTATAATATGTGCATCTTTTGTTTTTTCATAGTCGATTTCTAAGCAGCGTATAATGTAATATTTCAAATAATAATATGTATTGATCATAAAAACTAGGTAGTACGCAATAATATAGTCGGAGTGGCGACCACATGTCGCAAATGGTTCATAAATTGGCTTTACAATATACCAGATGTTTGCAAGGTTAATGCCTCTTAGTAAATTAAAATAGTGTTGCAAAATATTTGATGAACGTTTAAAAATAAAAAAAAAGATTTTTTTAGATAAGTTTCTTACCGTGATTCCAATAATCATCTTCGTATAAAAAAAAACTTCTTCTAAATTTTGAATATATCAAATATCTACAAAAGCACTTCTATTTTATTACGTCTATCGCGAAAAGCAAAGACACATAGCAAGGCAACACTGATTCTTACAATAATATCGGCATATTATATCAATAATTATTATCGTAGCATAAGTTTTAAAATTTTAGCAATGAAAGTCTGTAGAAACGTATGTATATCCCGCTCACCCACGGATCAAACAACAGAAGGCACAACGCATAACATGGTCCACTACATCGACTAGGTTAGCACTAAGTACTCGTAACACCAACAATGGATCGTCCATATTAAGTTCGCACTGGTCGGGAAATCGCCGTGCGGACCTTTGTTAGGGGCGGTCCAGATCACCGGCGCCAGCTGTGATCGTGAACGGGCGAGCGTGCGTCTAGCGTACGAACGATCGATGCCGGTAACAGATTTACATTTTTCCATCGAGGAAATCGGGAAAGTTTGTCACGTGCGTATAAAACCGGGCCGTTAGTACGGCGCGCCCGCACGCCAGTAGTGCGCGGCGCCGATTGCCGCCCGCCCGCCGCCGCCGTAGCCCGTAGCCCTAGCCTCCGACTACGGAACTCTACCGCACCAACTAAGCTTACACTGTCATTTACATAATCACTTAAGACGACGCGATTAAAACGAACAACTGTACACCTATATCTAATTAAATATTGACAGCGCTATTAACTCATTAAATGATTAAATACTATTTGTAATAATCAAATTCCTTTAACATAATGTACATAATAATATTTAAGAAATAAATTCTTTATATCTATTGACAAACATTGGGAAAACATGATAGGGATGGCTGCGAGTACATTTCGTAGAAGAACGAGACATATTACTCTTTAGTTTGATAGAAGTGAGATTTTATGTTAAGATCGTTAAGGTCCTGAATGGGACGGTATTGTTAAGGGTGGTTAGGGTTAAGGCGTGGTGTATGGCAGAGCGCGGGGTAGGGACGGTGTGAGACGTAGGAGTATCGATTTTAAGTCACCCCGCCCTCTAACCAAGCGATGCGACAGTGTGAGTGCGCCATTCGACATACGAGTCTTCACTGAGAGATCGTCAGCATCACACAATTAGTGGACGGATATTAACATAAGTATTATTTATGTTAAAATAAACAAAAGAATAAATAATTCTCATAATAAAGATTTCTCGCGCAAATTTTTATAGTATTTGGATATTTACTCTGATATTGGAGCGTAAAGGTGAATAACATCGTTAAGCGAAATCTTTCCTTTTTCTTATGTACATTTTCTCCTGGGAGAACACAATACATTTCCAGCGTCTATTCGATTGTGTATTTCATTAAGAGGGTTGTTCTATACTTAAAAAAGAACACAATATAAACTGTTTGCTTAAATATATGATAACCTATAATATTATAATGAAAATGAAAAAATATTTTTTTTTCTCAAGGCATACTAAATAATACAGTCATTGGGCCTCCCAGTAAGTATAAAAGAACACATTTAAAAAAAATATTAATATTATAATGATATCATTCTTGAAAAATTGGGTAGTGAGATTATATATTTATTTTGTGTTTTAATCTTAGTAATCTTAAACATAATGTTGTCGCATAATCATAGAAGATAGTGTGTTTAAAATGACAGTAGGCGGGCCGACCACTTGTGGCTTGCAACAGGCAATGCTGTGAGAAAATTAACGACACAAATGTATTCGAACATATGCGAATAATGAAAATAAGTTTCGACTTACTTTGCGAGATTTAAACGCAATGCAATCAAATAAATTATAAGTACCTAACTCTTTTTATAAATATCAATAAAAATGTGCACACTTACCTTTCATCGAGTTGCTGAAACTGCGAAGCTTGTTGATAATTTATGCGACGTCCATATAATGAAGCTCCTCCTTCAGACATATATCCGTCCATCATGTCATTATTTCGTGCACAATCCATTTCGTTTACGTTTATTCTCCTCAAGCAGTCCCCATCAGACATATATCCAGACGCAATATCAAGATCACAATAATCGGGATTAGAAAAACCAGGAGCGTAATTTATTCGTTCTCTTAATCCACCATTATCTCTTCCAAAATTGGCTTTTACAGTATTAGCATGGTGGGGATATCCTGGTATATTCTTTTGTGCCAAACCAGACGTACGCATAGGTAGAGTCAAGTGACTATTGTAGCCACGTAGAAGCGGTCTCATAGGCAACACGTTCATTAGCGGATTTTCATCTTCACCAAGTGAATTATCACGACAGTGGGACGGAGTACTAGATCGGCTGTCTGTATCTTGTTTCTTATTTAGTTCTGTCAAAGTTTTGTTATGATCAAAGAATTGTTTATGGCCTGAATTATCATGACGCTTCTGAGCAGCTTCTTTTTCCGATATTTCCGCTTCGTTTATAACATCGTTAATATAAGTAGCATTCATATCCATTCGTTTACTAGGCGTCATGTTATTTGTTCTAGATATTTCTGACCCAGATTCGCTCGAAGGACGATAAATGACACTACCGTCGCTTGAATTTGATTGCTGACCTGTAGTACTGTGAGTAGAATTTGAATGAGAACTTTCAGACATCTGTGAAGAATTTTGTGTTCCTACATTAATATTAGGCATGGGTGAAACGGCTAATGTTTGTTTTTGAGATATATCTTTACTTAAATTAGATTGTTCTCTTGTAAATGGATGTACACTAACCGTATTTGTAGAATTTAAACTTGAATTACTTTGTATTGGACTTAGTTGACTATTAGTACTTTTATGAATAATATGCCTATCGTCTTTTGATATTTTTGAAGTGCCTTTAACAGCAGCTGTTGGTTTCGGAATCCCTGTGTGATTTTGACCTGCTGAGCTTTGTCCTGTTGGTGATTGTGATTGGTTTACTACATTTTTCGATTGAACACTCCCATTCTCATGAAGTTTGATTTCTGAAGTATTTTCCGATCGTGATTCAGTGAGCTTCATTTGACTTCCTGACAATTTAACCATTTTTGTCTCTATTTTAGTTTTAGAACTTCTCGTGTGATCTTCGATTATGTTTAATTTTGTGTTACTAATAGATTTAGGCGCAGCAATTTTAGATTCTTTATCTCTCGCTGGTAATTTTGGACTACTACTTGATTTTTCATTACCGCTACTTCTTACACTACTTTTATTGGAATTTGTAGAATAATCTTTAGTGCTTTTAGAATTAACTAATTTAGATTTAACGATTTTTCCAGACTTGTCTTTTGATAATGTATCGCTTTGCTGTCTTATACTTTTAGGTCCTATTAAATTTGAAGATTTGAAATGTGTGTTTGTCGTATTAGAGGACTCGTTTAGACTGAGACTAGAGTCCGATCTTTCACTTTTTGCTGAAGAAAAGCCACTTGAGGAACTAGTGCGCTTCGAAACCGCAGTATTTTTAGTACTTTGCTTCTCATTGGTTATTTTATCTTTATTAAATAGTTTTAATTTATCTAACATGGACTGTTTTGTAGGCGTTCCATTATGATGAACGGCTTGTGTATGCTGTTGTTGTTGCGATAATTGTGATGGAATTTTACTGCCAGGAGCAAGTAGGGACGAATTTGGTCGCGATCTGCAAAAAAAATTATATATACTTTTTGCTATACATTATTAATATTTAAATATAATGTAGGATAAAACAAAGTTTTATTTAAAACTTCGTGCAATTTCATTATTTTTAAAATATAAAACAAGGTGCGTACCCGGAAGATGAAGCTGGTACACGAGGTATGAAGCTGACTGCTCCTTGTCCTAAAGGACTTGTAGACCGACTGGAACTTGCTGACAAACCACTTTTACCTGTGAAAAAAAATATTACGATAAACAAACAAGATAATGACGTCAAATTTCTAATGATTAAGGGGCTCAGATTTAAACTTTTTAAAAAAGAAAATTACTTTTATGAATGTTTCTTTTTTGTTCATAATTACAGGTTAGTTAATATTAATAAAATTTTTTGTTTCTTCTGCAACTATTTCTTAAAAACACCTTGATTGCTTATGAGAATTAAGGGAATGCCATATTTCGTTGTTATAATGGCTTTTAACACTTTTAAAACACAATCACGGCAGCGAGATAACGGCTGTTTAGAAACAAGAATGAATTGTACCTACCCAGATGGAATTTAAGACAGACACACGCGGATGTCCTGCCAACAATCTGAATGCTAAGGCTTGAGTTTCAAAAAAGTTATTACACTATTTTTCGAAAACCACAAGAGTTTATAGTATTTCTTTCATTTGTAAATGAATTTAGTACATTACACAGATAAAGTAACGAGTTCCCTTAAGTTACATTAATATAATATTAACTTAGTAATCAAGTAAAATAATAAAGACATAATGAAATTCTATTATTATTAGAAAACGAAATTCTTCAAATTTTATCTCCTATCTCAGTGCAAATCGTATAACTTTTTCAAAGTATTATTTACACAGATAAGTTCAAGCTTTTTATCGCAATACGGCACGGGTGTCAGCTCTGTGCTCACGACCTACTGCTTGGCTTAATGAACCCGAGATATATTCATATAAATGTTTGTATAAAACTTACACTATAGTTACCAATTTTATTCGAACAGTTGTGCCCCTTTTGACCCCTTAACATGTAAAATAACGAGGGGAACGTCAGCTGATTGCAACAACTCTAAAAATATTGGTTAGTCTTATCGATCCAAAGCCATAGTCGGCGAAATAATATTTCTGACGTCACAGCACAGTGACAAATACATACATGTGCGTGAATCAATCCTAAAAAGGACAGTTTTAAGTTTGTGTCCATATTGTTGGACATAATGTTCAATTAATCTTTGTACGTTATTGAAATCATAATCATAATCATTACAGCCTAAAAATCTACTACTGAACCTGGCCTCCCATATAGATGGGTGATATTTGCCATAGGCCCTCCTTGGCAACCGCAGTTTTTATTATTTTGATACGGATAACGTGATGGCATACCACGCGGCAGATTTGTCGTGTAATGGTGACGTAAGAGAATCCACTTCCACGCATCATGCCGTGGATCTCATGAGTGGTGACTGGAAGAAATTAACCATTTGATGGGCAGCCTCCTGGTAACACTTCAATATAATAAAAAACTGAGATTGCCAAATCGCCCGCCAAGCGTAGCAACTATGATAAATATCTTTCCCTCTTTTAGGTTACAATGGGGGAGGCTTAATAGGCTGTTATGAATAAAAAATCTTAATATGTGGTTCGCTGAATAGTATCTAAATTAAATGTTTAAAGGAATAATTTATGTTGAATTTAAATGAATCCTCAAATTTCTATATTTTAAAATGTCCAATCTATTTTAGTAAGAGAAAGTATGCTTTATTTCATTAACTATATTAGTTTCGAAAGTAGGTGATATAATGATAAGCAGAAGAAATAAATTATATCATTATGATGATGTATTTAAATGTAATATTTTTATAATAATTACTAAACACAATAAAATATATAAATTTGAATTTCAAATATATTGTCCACAATAAAATACCTTTTGAATCGGATCACTTATTTTATGTTTCACAGATAATCACAAAATTTGTCAACTTCTTAAACATGAGCAAGTCACCGGGGAGTGAATTTAGCAGACTCAATAATCAATGACCAGCATCCGTTTTTTATTCGGGTCAATCCATCACATTCGTTGAATGGCAGAACATTACATCCTAATGTACTTGTAGATATTATGGCTAAATTAATGTCTGAAGCAGTACTGAGAACATACGAGTAACTTAAGTGACTATTCACACAATCGGTAAAACTATAATTTTATTTTCTATCTATTTCGTTCAAATTAAGAGTAAAAAGTTACAATCTTTTGACTATTTATTTATACGAAAACAACAGATAAATAAAACTATTTAATTTATCTAAATTAGTAACACCTAACGATTGTTTCTAATTCTGTAAGTGAAATACTGATAATTAAATTACTTACAATTGTTTGAATTTTATACGGTTCACTTACACTAATTCACTAGTCGAATTTTAAACAATTAATTTTAAAATTCATCACTGAAATTACTCGTTTTATACAACATCAAGGGATTTTAACAAATTGAAATTAAATTTTAATAACAGATTTAAAAGTTTGAAATTTTATTGAAACATTAAAACAGCGCGCGCGTCGAGGAGTGCACGTCAACTGACGATGCATAAGAGTCGCGAGCGTTACACAGTACATATTACAATAAAACAAGCCTCAAATAAGTCTTAATATAATCATGGGATAAGTACAGATAATGTGAGTTGCATCTAAAATATTTGATGCAAAGTTTGCAATGAATGTATATTAAGCCGTTCATCATAAATAACTTTAGTATATTATTTTAAATCCTGGATTTTTTTTCTATTTGTGTATTTAATCAAAGTTAACCTAATGTGAACAAAATCTTATAAATACACTCATGCAATGTTTCTGAACTAAATTTTTAGTCTTCCTTATAGTTATTTACAGTTCACAGAGGAATAGAGCTATAGAACGAAGCTTGGCAATGTTGGCAATCTAGTATCAGACGTATTGCTCTTTCGATTCCACTCCCCGTCGTTAAACTAAATTTTTATGAACTAGTGGTATGTTAACTGCACTTACTATCTCACCTAATACATCCGAAGATAGCAAAGCGCACTGACTTAACGTAACAAAAGTCTATTCATTCTTTCCTCAAAGACATCCATATTGCAATGGAGACCGGCCTAGCGTCCGGTTGTCCGATAACACAAGGAAGAGGGAGGAATCAAATCGTTCAACTCCTATGCACACTCAAGTTTTCGTTCTAAGTTCTCCTAGACGACCTACGCCGTATGAGATGAATTAAGTATGGTGATGAATTCTCTAAGGCAGCCACAGTGCAGTGTGAGTAATTTCTACGTAGTATTCATATACGTCAATTGTAATTCCAGTAAAAAAACATGTACTGCTTTTTAAAACCGCAAAGAATTTTATTTAATGCCGACATTTGTCAAAAGTTTATATCTATAATGAAAAACAAGTTGAGTGCCAATTGGAAGCATACTACGCACAGTTTTCATGTTTTTAAATGAATCCCATTCAAAATCATAAGCTCTGGTCCCGATCGTTAGTGGGTAAGTTGTAAACTAAAACTAAATGACGTTCCCTAAGCATATCAAGTGCGAAATAATAAGTGAGAGAGTGAATAAACCTTCAGTTATGTCAATTTTATTGCGAGCCGCAGCCAGAGTGCGCGGTTTTATAACCTAAAAGCGAAAATGCTTGCATGTAACCAAGTCAGGGAGCTTATTATAATATATGATTAATCTAAGCAAGCTAATAATATTTTTTCCTTATTTATTTATTTTTGTAGGAATATGGTTATTCATTTATACAATATTTAAAAAAATATGACTTCCTTTTTTACTGTCTGCACTTGAACGTGAATTCCTTTGGGATTAGTATTAATTAAACTTAATTGATGATGGCTAATCTAGCGTAACAAATTCTTTTAATAACTTTGTCATGGTGCACAATCTCTGGAATACGAATCAAAAAATATAGAGAAGCCAATGCTTTGCAAAAGTTTTGCCTTAGGAACAACTTTTGTTGGTTTCGATATTGTTTTTGTTTCACCGTTATTCAATTTTTCCGTTTACGTTCAAATAACCAAAATAAAGTTAATAAAGGCATTGAGCCACTGCGTATATAATATTATTTGTCTCTTTTGCAATTATGTAATAGAATCATAAGTTATAAATATAAGAAACGTTCAAATGATGAGACCGGCACTTGTCGATGTCTCGAGTGCTTGTGGCCACATCCTGTGTGGCGTTTGTACCATCATTGTCTAGGACTTATATATGCAATTATTACCTAAATATCAGATGTAAGAGGAGCAATTCCAATCAAAAAAGGAGGAGGTACTCAATTAGACCACATGTTTTTTTTTTTTGGTGTGTTAGTTACCTCAGAACTTTTTTCTAAGTGAACCGATTTCTGATTCCTTTTTTATTTGAAACCTGATGTTTCACATGTATTATGATATATATATATATTTGATCAAGATCTGACCAGTAGTTTTTGAATTATCCTTAATAATGCGTATTTAATTGAATTCGACTACATTGATGACGTTCTCATTTTTTTTTATATATATTTTTATATATATATTTTTTTTTCATTGAAGTCGGTTGTACAATTTTTTTTTATTTTGCCACTTGTAATTAAATATTTTCTGTGAGACGCAGTCATGAAAATTGTGTTATGATTTTACTTTTATTTTAAAACTAGCCTTTTACCCCCGGCTTTGCTTGCGTGGCCTTGAATTTAGAAACATCATAATTACTACTCCTTGCCAAAATTTGCAAAATTGAATTACTTGTAGAATCACCTCGGTATATCTGTGTCTATATTGGACGTAAGTGATTGAAATTTGGCAAAAGAATATCCTACAGAAACAAATAAACGTCTTTATCAGAAACGCATTAATATCATACGTCTTCACTCTCTTCACTTTTTTTATATCAGGCATGTGTTCCTATTTGTTTTTATGAGGGGCAAATTGTTCTGGAATCAGAAAAGCGTTATTTATATTTATTCATTATTAAAGTGGATATAGTTTTGAAAAAATAATGTTGAATTTCTTTTGAATTGTAAGTTTGTTAACACACGGCATAGTTTATTTGAGATATTAGATTCAAATCATGGGCCACATAAAATATTGTTCGACACCATAAAATAGATGCCGGTATTTCTTTTACGTTCGAGTACACTTCAAAATCTCATAAATGTGTTTTTACGGTGAACGTGTGAGGACAACTATATTCATGAACAGGAGTAGAAACACACAGAAGATGGGCAGCAGCGTCTTCCTGATTACAGATTAAAATAACAAAAATATGCAGTTGGCAACCCACCCGCCAAGCATGGCAACTACGGCAAATATCCAACTTATTTGACAAATAAAAGTAAAGTAAAGTAAAGTTACAGCCCATATACGTCCCACTGCTGGGCTCAGGCCTCCCCTCATTTCTGAGAGGGGTTTAGGGCAAGGAAGTGTCCGCCGCGCTGCCCAAATGCGTGTTGACGAACATCACATGTCTTCGAAATATTTTTTTTTCTTATTCCTCAGACATGTAGGTTTCCTCACGATGTTTTCCTTCACCGCCGAGCACGTGGTAAATCAGCACTTAAAATTGCAATTAACAATTTCATTGGTGCCGGCGGGGATCGAACCCGGGTTACTCGCGTTCTGTTATATTTACAGCGAGCGTTAACCACTGAGCTACCACGGCTCACGGCTTTGACAAATAGGGGGAATCGAATTGATTAACGGGAGTAGAAATATATCAGGCATATAGAGGCAGCGAAAAAGAAACCACAAACTAAATGTGGTTTGTATCGTTGGTGTCGTGAGGACCGAAAGAGGGAAACTAAAACAGGAGATGGGTTGCAGCATCTTCCTGATAACAGCGCAGAGTAATAAAAATCTGCGGCTAATATTGCAAATATCCAACCTATTTGACAAACTATACGGAAAGCCCGGCACTGTCACAGAATCTTAAAGGTATGTCTGAAAATATGAAAGCTCATTCAATTATAAAAATTATGATAAATCATCCCGACAGTGGCCACTGGTCCAAATATTTTAAGTCCGATAATTTTGATGCTGCAAGAATAAGTTTTCAATTGAATTCTCTTTAATTTGATCAGTTACTTATTATAAGTTTATTTATCAATAAGTAGATGGCGCTATTATTAGATTAAAACTGTAAAAATGTACCCTCTAGTACTCCGCGACAATAAGTTGAAGAGGATGGGTGGGTTATTTTACGATATAACATCAAGAAATAGCAAAGTTGTGTTTAGTTGTTAACATCGCTAAACGATCTCTATTCATTGACTTGGTCAAGCTACATCATGATAATTTCAACAATCCGTGTTAAATTTCATGTAATGATTGGCATTTTTATGATAATTATTAATTCTAAGGACTGACCAATACATTTATAAATATCTCTTTATTTATATTATTTAATTTATTAGTAACTGGGGACAAAAATATTACCACTTTTTGTTGTTTACGTTAGATGGCACTGTTTTGAAAAAATAAAACGTCGGTTGTTGGCGTAGTTGAAATTATTACGTAACGGCTAAAACTAATTTTAGGCATTATTTATAAATATTTTATTTATTTTAAAGTCTAAAAGGATAAAAAGTAGCCTATAAATTGCCCCGGGTTTTCATTGAAAATTTCATTGAAATCTATCCAGTAGTTTTTGCGTAAATCGTGAATACACAGACAGACCGAGAGACAGATAAAAATTCTAAATACCACTTATTTGACTTCAGTGCCCTTTATTGAGTCACCTGTGTTTTTTTTTAAGAAAATATTAAAATTACAGACACAACTTTTATACAGATTTATTACACACTTTTCTAATATCTAAGCGTTACAACATAAATACAATCATTTTAATCATTGATAGTAAAAGTTTAGAAAATAAGGGGCGTTTGAAAATCATTGTACTACGTACCGTTTATTCCGTACATTTTGTTTTATGTTTAATTATTTTTAAACCGATTCAACTACCTATATACTTTAATTTAGTAATAGACTACACATTCACATTGATCTCACAAAAATTTCAATTAGATCAGATTATAACTGAAGTCGGTTTCTATATTTTTTAAACAATGCAGTAATTGATTATTGTATAGTTAATTTTGTAGGTAGTAAAATTTTAAATTAAAGCATTTGTATAACGGCGTTTCATGAGAATCGAACAAACTATTTATTCTTATTAAAGACGTAAATTCACGTAGATTCACCTAGGAATGAAAAGATAGACCTGTTGATATGGAGTCAGTTGTTTGCTCATTGAAATTCTGTAAGAGGAGGGTGTTATCCAATACTAGAGTCTACTCCAGTAGTGGACTTTTGGGTACCAACAAAGAAATTGTTCATGGGCGACGATGATCACACACCATCAGGTTTTCCTAAAAATAAAAACCTAAAAAGAACAACTTTAGAGCAGTATGTTACATCCTAAACATTGTTTAGCGATAAATAAACATATTATCTTAAGCACCAGTGCCACTGTATTTGACATTATTATAGAATCTATTACGCTATCAGACAAATAACACAAACACAAACTACGAATGATAAACAGAGCAAATATTTTTGGCTAATGTAAGCATTACACGAGTAACATCCAGTGTTATATAAGTATACTTAATCTTTATTAGTAACATAATTATATGAACACAACCGTTATCGAACATAGGTTAGCATAGTTAATTTAATTACAATTTTTTCTAAAGCTGAATGGGTAAACATTATACAATTAAATGCCGTTAAATATATCAAATCATCTGATGTAGTAATTTATTACTAACACTGATAATATTAACGTTGATATAAGAGAGACGTAGTAAATAGAGCCAGTAGAAAGTATAAAATGGTTCATGATAAAAGTCAATTGAAGAGAAAGACATTAGGAGCCCATAATAAATACTTCAGGCCAGCAATCGCCTAAAAATTTTGCAGAATGCCAGCAAATCGTATTGATCCCGGCAAATTGATACATAATGAGCTTAATTACTTTATATTGTTTTCGCCATTGTCAGTTGCTTATAAAGCATTATTCGTTAATTAGCAGGATACATGGAGTGCCTGTGAGATTGAAATTTCTTTTTCGTTCTACCTTTGCCACTTCCCGTAAGAAATCACGCAAATTATTTTTCACCTAAAACTTTGGCTAGTCTTTTCTTTTAAATCATTTCCGATTGCACACGTGAAGGTAAAAATTACAGTAACAGTCACTTATATCACAGTATATAAATTCATATATACTGTGCTTATATTAAGAGAGCATGGTTGTTACCCGCATGTCCCGGCGTGGCGGGCAAGGGTCGCTTGTCTGGCGGGGCACGACGTACCGCCGCAGCCGACGCGGGCAGCGGGATCGAAGTCTGCAGCACCGACACCTGCCTGTAAACAATAGTCAGATTTAATATTGACATATCGATTAGTATTTTTTAGAGTTTATTTTATTATAGAATAAAGGTGAACAGTTTTGATAAATACTGGAAATCTACCTTAAGAATCAAAATGCAGATGCGTTGTCAACCTTAAAGACTGAGATGTAATGTCTAAGTTCATTACACTCACCATACAAGACGCAGCAGCATTAAGCTGATATCTCACGTACAACCATTAGGTAGCTGCTCATGGCTCTATAACGTAGAAGAGAAGAGTTCTTCTGTACATCTTCATACACAAACAGTCCCATGTATAGGAGCTGCCTTTATGTACTGTTTCGCTCCTTGCAACAGTCTCAGCGTGTAGTATAAACGCTATCAACTTTATAATTTGACATGATTGCCCCGTTTTACAGACCTATTAGTGATCGTAGTACTAGACATACCACGAGCATCTCTTTTTGATGCTACTTTCTGACACCAGTCTGTGTATTGGCTGCGTAAAAGAATTCACGGCTCGACCGGGGAAGGACCACGCTCTCTTATAATACCAGCGTCAAATAGCAGCTTAATGCTGCTGTGTTTCGTATGGTGAGTCTAGAGAAATTACTGAAATCGAGGCATTCCATCAGGGGCGACAACGCATCTGCACTTTGATTCTTAGTCGAGGTTAAATGTAGATGTCATGTTTATGGGCCACAGCATCCACTTGCCATCAGGTGGACTGTGTGCTTCTTTGTTAATCTTATCCTACAAAAATATTTTATCTTATTTATCATTTTTATTTATTTATACATCCCAACCAGATGAGAATACTATGTAATAAAGACCCCCAAACAATAATATAGTACAAAACTGCTTTTTACCAAACCGCCTGCACAGTGTTGCAACATAGCAAATGTTTGATAGAGGATTTAAGACGAAAATTAATGAATTTAAATTAACGCCATCTATCGGGACGCCACAAAAACTTGCCTCTTATGCCAACAGAGAAATAGGTTATGGTATGCCACATAGTATGGGGTATATACACATGAAGTGGCAATTAAATAAACTGCGTAACAACGTATAATAAAAACTAATTTAAATAGTACTTATATAATAGTTTAATACAAATATTACTCTGAAACTTATTTGTTTTCTTCAAAGCTAATAACATGCTTCGTTATATATTAGAAGTATTTTACATTATTTATATTGAATCTTAACACAGAATATTTTTGAAAATATCAACATACATTTTTTATATTCAATATTTATGACGTACGTACGTAAGGGTCGTAAATATATTAATTGTTAGTATCTCTGAATGGCTTAGCTGTAGACTATTGTTATAGCAGCGATCAGAATTATTATATTGGCTGCAGTGCTCCTGTAGGATCTGGGTAACTACTCGTATTATTTAAAATAAATAAATAAATAAATATATTGGGTTCTAAATTGGGATCAGTAAGTCAATTAGATTACTACGGAAAATATTAATACGTAATATTTACAGATTATATGGAACCCAAAGTTATATGGACTGGACATTGCGAATGAACACCATATTTATGTATCTCAAATTTAACATGTAAATTAAGAAGAAAACTACATAATGCACAACTAATAAAATTGGACAACTAGAGTAAGTAAATGAAAAAAGGCCACTAGGACATTGTTATTGTTTGGTTATTCTTCATCTCAAGATTATTGTAATATTGTTATACAAAAATAACTAAGCAAACAATTAATAAAACTTGACTTTTTACATGAATCTAGAAAGAAACACAATTTTGCGATAGATAAAAAATATGATGTCGATAAATAGAAAATTGAAAGCCCGGTTTATTAAAATAATAAACCTGCTTAAATTTATTTTATAATATAAACCTCACAAAACTTGATGCTGAGCTGAATTAAGAAGACTATAAAATATAATATGTTGAAAATCTGTAATGAAAGTATAACATTACAGTTTATATTTATAATTTGTTTAAATGCAAAATAAATAGTTACTAATGTTTGAATAAAATATTTTTACATTTAGTTTTATAATAAAACACTACAAAGTTAAAATAAAAGAGATACCTTATACGATACTTAAGCATAAATTACTGACATACTTAATTACTTACATATTAAATTATTTATAAATAATTTAATTTCTTTAATGTAGTTTTTTTAAGCTATTTTTCAAATAACTTAACGTTTTATTTCAATAGAAACTATCTTGTAAAATGCTCACATACCAAGGCACTTACAATTCAGTAAGAGACTCGATTGTGTGAGACTGAAAAATTGCTATACGCCAGACGTTGTCCTCGCTAAACTTCTGGGTTCCCATTTTATGCAGGCAATATCCGGGCATTGTGGACTGAATAAAACTTTATATTCCAAAGATAACCCGTGAAATACCATTGACTTCCACAACTAGCAAAGACATTGAATAATGTGACGTATATTTAAAAAAAATTACACTGTGATCAACTCGATCACAACTTCACAACTGATAACTGTGAACTCAGAGGATATTGTAAAATATTAAAAGAAATACTAACGTATAAAATAGGCTTTAATTCGTTGTCCGCTTAAACTTTAAGAATTCTGGTATCATTACTATTTGTATCTATTTGGTATTTTCTTAAAACTCTGCAGCCAGGCGCAATGTTTATTTCTATACTTTTACTATTAGCGATATTTTATTCTTACTAGGTGTATTGTCATTCATCAACAGAGCCACTGCTCCTCCTTTCCTGGTTCACATATTTTAATTACTATTAACCAAGATGGTTATTTCGAACATTTCCCTCTGTCAGCTTTTATGTTACACACACAGGACGTGCCTAAATAATGGACTATCTTTTTCATTTATCACTAAAAACCGTAGTGGTTGTTACGTTATTTTTATTTGGAAACCCTTGTGATTTATTTTTCTATTTTATGTCCTATCAAAGCAACTCCTTCGGAAGTTATTCAATTTATGTCAATTTTCCGAGGATTTACAAGTCTTCTTCTTACAAAACTTTCATACTAGATGGCGCTGTTCTTAATAATAATGTTTGTGTTTATATTATTTGAAATTATACCCCACGAATTAATGATAAATTGAAGTTTGACAATGTATTCAACAAAATCACGCTAAACAAATGTATTTTATAAACGAACAGTACGAGTATAAAGATCTAAACGTTATGTTTTCGCGGAATGAAATTGAAATAGGAAAACCAAAAGAATATATTCGCACTATCATGATCGAATTCCATTAAAAGCCCTTCTGAATATAGACCTCCAACATTGTCATAAAGCACGGTTAAGCCGGTACGAGGCCACTCAAGAACCTTTTTTCCCTATCGGTTGACGGTTTTTCGAGCTATATGGCCAGCTCACTGCCACTTCAGCTTACTAATCCGGTGGACAATGTCGGTAACTCTATTATAACTAATATTATGATGCATAATTAAACTAATATTAACGCCATGATTTCGAGACCTTTGTGTACACCCGAGTGGAGAGTACACGGCTTTGACGACTTTGAATCAACAGCTGTGTTTCTGTCGGAAGAGTATAAAAAGACAGTATAATGATATTTATGTCTGTGTGTGTTTGTTCTGGAAACCGAACTCCGACAATTTCTAGTACTCAACTTGTTTTTTATTATTTTACCATTTTATACAGGTTTTTTATGAATGCCGCGATACGCCTTTTTGCCGATACGAATACCAATACTCTAGATATATATACTCTTATAAAAATATCGGCGATACTGATACCGATACCGATATGTTTATTGAATTCAAAAATGAAAGTAAAATAAATAAAATACAAGTCAGGTAGACTTAAATTAAATTAATAGATATAAAAAACAAATAACAGGGCAAACTAAATAAAACCGTTTCAAACTGTAGACAGTTTCGTTTGCAACGAAATAGACGAGACAACACGCGCGTTTACATTACAGTACCCGGTTGACCGAGCTTTGCTCGGTATTTTTCGCTCGGTTTTTTTTAATCCGTGTGTTTTGGAATATATATTTAGATACAAATTACATACTGATGAAATACGAATAATATATTTTGATCGTAGCGACATAATAGAAAAAACTGAACTGGTTATTTGAATAAAAAATCATGAGTGCAATTAGTTTAATTTAAATTTTCGTGTTTTTAAAAAATACTAAAAAAGGGCTCGACAAAATAGATTTTCCCAAAAAAGAAAGGAACCACCATCGAACCATGGTATTACGATTTTGTGACCGCCCAATATACCAATTAAGCTAGTTGTAATCATTAGTAAACATTAGTTGTAATCATCAACACAAACTGTCAAAATTTACCTTCTTATTCTAACGATATTGTAGCAGTTTTTCATTGCCTAAAAACATAAACAAAAAGACATTTTCTAAAAATAAATCCTAGCTAGATCGATTTATTGCCCCTGCTTTATGAAAATCGTTGGAACCGTTTCCGAGATTCCGATTATATATATATATATATATATATATATATATATATATATCAATATGTAACAAAAACCCTGTGGTTCCCGTTAAGTGTGTTATCAGAATCAGTATCCTAGCATATAGAAATCTTTTTTTTTTCAAAAACATTATAATAATTTTGATGAAAAAAAAACTAATTTGCAAATTGTATGTTGTTTTATTTCCTCTAACTCACACGAGTATCGGTACTACGAGATCTTTGACAATCCTCCTACTCCTTGGCCAATGCAGAGATATATATAACCAGAGTATATACAAGAATTGCTCGTTTAAAGGTATAGGATTTTTGAAGCGCGAAATTAGAAAAGCGTCGTTGAATCGGCCATAAAAATATCGCCGATGCTGATATATCGGCTGACTTTAGAGTATCGCCGATATACCGGTATCGGTATCGGATGATCCCTAGTTTTTTATAGCATTGGGTGACAAACGAGCACACAGTCTACCTGATGGTAAGTGGATTATGTGGCGCATAGACATTCACACTTATCCTCAATTAAAAATTAAAACACATATGCGTTATCACCCCG